CTGTGCTATCCATTAGATACCACACTTCCACAAGACAATTTCCAAGATAATCGGGCAACTTTATGATCTCCCAGCCTCAACAATACAGCAATTGATGTGACTAAGTTACCTTTCTTCCAATTTGACCTTAGCCTCCCTTTTGGCTTTGCGCTTCAAAGCTGGATCTCTGAAGACGTCTTTATTGATGATCTGCTTATCAAGGTTAACATCCACAGAGTATCTATGTGAAAGAAATGATTAAGTTATTAACAATCTTATTTCATAGATGTCGTCTTAAAATTATCTTGATTAAATGCCAGTTTTCAAATGAAAACACCAGGTTCTCAAATCATGAAGATCACACACTCCTGCAAATAGCGAGGATATCAGTTTACAAACATCAACATCATTTTTGATCATGTGCCATAAACACCCAAGCTTACGGCTGGCAGAAAGAGCTCTGAACCAAGTGAAATTTTACTTGCGACTGAATTTCCAACTCAGTGTTCAGTATGTGACAATGCATACATTTCTTTCAAACTTTTACAGTGAAGCATCAATATCTACTAAGGTACTTCACAAGACAGCTCAAAAACAACAGATTTTTTTATTGTAACTTGCTGTAATATAAACAGTCCATGATCCAGTAGTTTGAAACTTTTAATTGAAATTTTTACTTGATCATAAATATTCGATGTAACTGGAAAGAGCAGCTCAAAAGAAGTATTTCAGCCAACTTTTAGAATGAAATCTTAAATGGAAGTGAAGTGACAGTCAATTGAAAAGCACTCGATCTTCACATATTTCCCTTGTCGTCATCCCTTTTTGCCAAACAGGTCATCTGTAAGACTATTGTGTCACAGTGCTCATGATGTCACTTGCTGGATTCAAATGCACCTCTGCTTACTAGCTTTATAGCAACATTTTTGGATACCCACATTCCTTATCATCAGCTTGCAATGATTTGCTTAAACATGCACCTTCTCATAAAAATGTTCTCATAAAATCAACAGCAAACTTTCAAAGTTTGTCTAAAACAAGATAAGCCATTGACTGCATGACTTCGCAGAACAAACTTACAGAGTTTGCTGGTTCATCACTAGCTGTTTGCTCAAGTATCATAATTTGCAAGTTTTACTACAACAACAAGGTTTTGTACAAAGTAGTGCAAATGGCTTAAATGGTAGGCAATCAGTTTTTGAATATTTCTGATTATTTATTTTTGACCAACTGAAAAATTGACAAAAATTAAGATTTCTTTATATCTTCCATTCATTTTATTTTTTTTTCACTTGTTTATTTAGCTATTTGCAATTTTGTATCTAGCTTAAGATTATTGCTGTGCCTGGGCTGATATTCTTACCCAATGGGTTGAATTTATTATAAGGAAACAAGAAGTCTGGGACTGGTTACTGGTCAAATCGTAACACAACTCGGAATGAATCGAGACTCACCTTGTAGGCATAAGATGGTTGTAGTTATAAACCTTCACGAAAGGCTTTATTCTAGACCTCTTCGCTGTCTTCTTCTTGCTCATTTTCTTTGTTACCTTCAGAGGATAACGAGAAATTCCAGCAACGAGCGCGTGACCATAAGGTTTATCGGTAGTACCATCGTCGTAGTTTTTCACAATTACTGCTTTCTTGCCGGCATAACGCCCATTTAAAACCAACACAACCTTGCCAGACTTGATGAATTTCCCCATGGTATGGAGGAATCTGTAAAATATGTATTCAACAGAGTTTTAGCGCGGTATAACAAGCTGAAAAGAGATGATAAAATAGAACTGTGAACGACTTCAACTGAATATTTGCAACAAAATTTCGCTAGATTGCTGTGACACATTTTCTTATAATTTTAGAACTGAACGTTGCTCTGAAGCTCAAGATTTAAGTAAGTGGTAAAGGTACGAAAAAGCTTTATTTTTGAAGCAGATGGAAGTGGATTGTTGCAGACAACATCACCTCACTCACCAGCAAAGATGGCGACGAAAAGAGAGAGAGCGAGTATTGGGGACAGCCGCTGACAAGGAACATCGCGGGTGTCCGTGTCATGGTAACACAGGGTACCCAATCATTAAATTACAGAGTTTGTATTGGAACTTATGTAAAGCCGACCACAGCCTCCGTATAATTCAATTCCTATTTCATTAAATTAATAAATTGTCATCTTACAATGTCACAATGCACTGCAATGGTGATATCATGTATTTTGATTCAACAGAAAATTCTCAGGATATACAGTTGAACAAATGGTGGAGGACAGGGGAAAGTGACCATGTATTTTATTTGAGTCTGTCCTCAGGGTAGAATTGCAAGAGTGCCATCATAAAATGTGGCTTAAATAGTACTCGGCATACCAAGGAAGCCAGAGAAATTTGCTGGCCTAGATCAGTAATGGGTTGTCAGTATCTTGTAATTCCACCCAATTCCCAGGGAGGTAAAGGTAAAGTCTGCATGCGAGCCAAGTGGCCCATCAGGCCAGAGCTTATCCCGGTTTCTGTAGCATGGAGTGACTAGGA